CCTGTTTGAATGTCCAAGATTGTCGGCCAAAATGTTAGCGTGCGCAAGGGTTTAATACACCTTCCAGTATATTTTCGCGATAATATTCGGCATTTATTCAGATGCCACGGTCAATTGATTGGGAAGGGAGAGCGACCATCTGCTCTAACGATAGCCACTTGTGGTTTACCAGCCAAATATAAAGAAATCAGTGCCACTCATGAATTCCATCAGGATATAATATATATATATATATATATATATATATATATATATATATATATATATATATATATATATATATATATATATATATATATATATATATATATATATATATATATATATATTATGTATATTAGTATATATTTATGTACTATTGTAAATGTAGGAGGGCATTTTAAACAAAAATCTTCGAAATTTCGAATATTTTTTTATTTTTATGAGGAAAGTCATTATTTGAACAAGACAACACAATTGCAAATTAAACCATTTTTTTCCTAAACTGTGAAAACCCATTATTGTTTTGTTTTAATCTCATTCCCTGCTTTTTGATAGAAAACCACGTGATTTTTTAGTTGCAAAAATATTTTAGAAATAATGACCAGTTTAGCTTGCAATATCGGTGATAATGGCACCAAATAAATTCGGTACAGCTTTACGAAAGCTAATTAATGACGATTTTAATCGTGGAATTTTTCAAAAGGAGCTCTCCATTAAATACAAATTGCACAAGTCACCAATTTTGAAAATTTTATCACGTTTTAGAAAAACTAAATCGGTGGAAGTTATAAGGATAGGAAGTTATAAGCAAAGGTAAGAGAGGTTAAACAATTTCCTTTCGAATCGGCTCCGATATTGGCAAAAGAATTGCAACTACAAATTACCGCAAGAACGATTTGTCGACGTCTCGTTGAAGATGATTTGTTAGCTTATCGCCCTGCGAAAAAGCCCCTTATATCTATCGAACGTTCCCACGCCTCACATTCCCACCCCTGCCGACCGAGGGTGCTACCTCCCTTTACGAAGGGATCACGTACACATCATGATCCGCATCATAATGGGAATATAGTAGGAAATTGAAAACCAGCCACAGAATCTAAATTCATCAGCTAGTTTGTCAAATAATAGAAAATGTATGTTAATTGTTTAAAACTAAAATTATTCTAGATTTAATAACTTCCAAACTCATACCAAAATCTACATTACAGTACACAGAATTAAAGTCAACACACATTTTACTAAGAGGTTCGCCCATTGAATAATTCGTGCGGTGAAAATCAGTATATAATAATTGGTAGTATCTACTAGATCTAAACAGAACATTAATTCTTCAGATTAGGAAATCTGAAGGTATGTTCTAACCGAAACAAATCGAAATGGCTTTAGTTTGCCCAAGAACATGTTAACTGGACAGTGGACCAGTTGGAAAGTGTGCTTATCAGCGATGAGTCAAAATTCAATATCATCGGTAGTGATGGCATAACTCACGTTAGAAGACCCAGAGGAAAACGAATTCAACAGGAGTTTTGCCTGAAGACAGTTAAACATGGAGGTGGCCATGTCATGCTTTGGGGATGTTTTTCTGCCAACGAATTAGGTCCGCTGCATCGAATACAGGGTAGTATGGATAGATGGGTCTGTAAAGACATTCTGGAAAAGGTTATGCTGAATGGGAAATACCATTACGGTGGACGTTTCAGCACGATAACGATCCCAAACACACCTCGAAGGTGGTAAAGGGATGGCTAAAGAAAAAAAGTTGCCGTAATGCAATGTCACACCACAGTCACCGGATATTAATCCAATCGGAAATCTCTGGTCAATTATGATTGTCAATTGATTGCAATAACGTAAAAAATACGGATGAATTTTTCAGTCGGGTCCAAGATGCATGGTATGGATTTCCACAGGACACAATAATTAATTTGATAGAGTCCATGCAGCGCCGATGCAACGTTATTATAGAAAATAATGGTTACGCTACGAAATATAAAAAAAGAAATTGTTAACCATTGTTAAGTTACAATTGTTTTGTCTTCTTCAAATTATGACTTTCCTCGTAAAAAGTTAAAAAGTTTTCTAAATTTCAAAGACATGAATTTAATTATTATTTAAAATACCCGCTGACATTTACAATATTACATAAATGCAAATAAAATTTGAATAACATTACCCCACAAGTTTTATTAAAAAATCATTTTCGGTCTTTTATAAACATTGTTGCAAATATTTTTGGATATACAGTGGAAATATAGATTTCTTTTCTTTAGTAACTTACAGTTAGATTTGATGAATGACATTTTTGTTTTATAGGATATATTAGTATGAATGCACATAAAGTACGGATTTAGCACTGAAATGTGTTTTTAATATAAATGAATTCCTGGCTTTTACCATATTTTCAAAACAGGACCAAAAATACCCGTTTTGACTCACTTGAATGTTCGGTGCACACAAGATTAAATTTCTTAATGTTTATACAAAAACAAGTAAAACCAGTAAAGAAAGTCTTAAAGTCGGGCGGGCGGACTTTATGACACCCTACACCACTTTGCTAATTTAGTAGAGCTCCGTTTTTATGGGAGAATTCAATCATACACACTATGATTATAATTATAATTTAAAGTTCAAAGGACTAAATATACCGAAGCATTTGTATCTTTCAAATTTGGACTTGTATTGCCCATTTGGTGCACAATTAATTTGAAATCGGATAAAGATATATATGGGAGCTATATCCAAATCGGAACCCATCTCGATAAAATTTGGCAAAGATATTTCTGAGCTGTATTTGATATATTTCCCTGAATATCGTTGTTACGGAGTGCATATTACGATTGTGGGTAACAAATATAACAAATCGGATGAACAGTATATATGATCTTCACCAAATTTGACATACCAGCTTCTAGACTCAATTCGGTCGAGTCCCATCCCATTTGGAAAAATATTAGACGTTTGTTGCACAATAAAAGGTAAATCGGATAAAAAAATATATGGGAGCTACATCCAAATCTGAACCGATCTCGATAAAATTTGACAAAGATATTTCTGAGCTGTATTTGATATATTTCCCTGAAGTAGTACAAATCTGATGAACAAAATATATGGGAGCTGTAGCTATATCTGAGCCGATTTCGATCAAATTTGGAATACTTATTTTTAGGCCTAATTTGGTAGTATGTGCAAAATTCCATACTATTCGGGCTGATATTACACGTTTGGTGCACAATGAAAGGCAAATCGGACGAAGATATATATGGAAGCTGTATCTACATTTTGTCCGATTATCTCCAATTTCAATAGGGTTCGGCCTTGGGCCAAACAAATGATTTGTGCAAAATTTCATCTGGATAGGGCAATAAATGCGAGCTGTACTATGTTTACAAAAATACATGGACAGACGGACGGACATGCATAAATCGACTCAGAATGTGATTCTATGCAGATCATCAAAAGGAACTATAGGTCTATCTTGTTTCCTTTTGCCTGTTACAAACAAATGCACAAAGACATAATACCCTGACCACCTTGTGGTGTAGGGTATATAAAGCATTAGGTTAGGCAGGGCCGAACTTTTAATACCCTCCACCATTGGGTAAAGAAAACATTTTTTCTGCAGGAAGAGCAGACCCACGTGAAGACAAAATTTTTGAAAACTACATTACAGAAAACCCGTTTGGCTAGGCGTGATTCTACTAACATAATTTAATATTAGAACAATGGGCCTGATTCGACATTGATTTTGTCTCTAAGGTTGCCAACGGTTTCCTATCGCTTAAGAAGTAGAAATAAAAAAACGATGTCAAAATTCTTAATTTGTTATTTTAAGTTGGAGTTTCGACGCACACCGGAAATAGTTAAGTGGTCCAAGATGTATCCGAATTGGTTATTGTTTACGAAACACCAAAATTAGAGCTTTGCAAGAGCTTTCATATTAAAATTTTCAATATTGAGTAAAATTAATTTTGTCAATTGGAGTAAAAAAGTCCTGTGCAATATTTCATTTCCCGTACCATTAAAGTTTTCTTAAATCCTCTTTCCATATAGGTTTAAATTTATTTAATACCTACAAATAACTTACAAAAAGGAAATTATGTTCTATAAAATATCTAACCCCAAGCTAATTTAAGAAAAAAACGCAAAGTCGTCGCTTTAAAGATAGTGGAGATGTTTCTTTTTTTAATTCAATATGTTAAAGGCCATTAAAGTTTTCTTAAATCCTCTTTCCATATAGGTTTAAATTTATTTAATACCTACAAATAACTTACAAAAAGGAAATTATGTTCTATAAAATATCTAACCCCAAGCTAATTTAAGAAAAAAACGCAAAGTCGTCGCTTTAAAGATAGTGGAGATGTTTCTTTTTTTAATTCAATATGTTAACAATATGCTAAACAAGCTAGTTTCAGTTAAAGCTCGTTTTCTTTAAAAGCATCGATTACCCGATACCAAATTTTATGGTAATATTTTAATGAGACTCAATTAAGGAGCGATATTGAGTCAACTGCTTTTAAAAAGCTCCCCACAAATGTTCAAATTTATGAATGCTTATAACTTTTATATAATGTGAAATCTATGTCCGATTGGACCTCTCCTTCTGAACCTACGCCTTAGTATGTCTAAAACCAAAGAGATGCTATCACACACTCAACATTATGCGACGCGTTTCATTGTCGTTTAAGCGGGCCACCAGGCATATTTTGTATGGATTTTTTACAAGAGCTTGTTTTTGGAAAAAAGTATTTAATTTGGATATATTGCAAAAAACCATATGCGAATTAAACACCAGAACGCTCCATGTTCGACTCCAGTTCTTCTTACAAATCTAATCCGATTTCCTTCAATATTATTATCAATAGAAAAATAAATAAATGGTAATAAATACAAAGACTCGCGGAATATTTAAATAAAGTTTAAAAATAAGTAGATAAAGCCTAACCTGTGGTAAATAATTTAGAGCCATCCTACATCATAAAGCCTTATTTGCACATTTTTTTACATTTTCATTTGGCAAGGATATTCGCAAGGAGGTTTGTTAGCAAGAGCAGCAATCCAGTCAATGCATGAACACAATGTTCGAACTTTTATATCGCTATCTTCTCCTCAAGCAGGTCAATATGGAAGTAAGTTAAAGACGGATTCAACAGATTATAGCATAATATAAATATATAGCTTTTAATATTTATAGCCAGTTTTCTACATTTGATTTTTCCTGATTTGGCTGCCAAAACAGCATATGAGCTTTTTTACTCCAAAGTTGGACAGCACACATCCGTCGGAAACTACTGGAATGACCCACATAAGCAAGATATGTATTTGAAATTCAGTGTTTTTCTGCCATACATAAACAATGAGATTATTTCTGGAAATTCAACTGATTTTAAAGCAGCATTAACTAGTTTAGATAAATTTATTCTTATTGGAGGACCGAACGACGGAGTGATTACACCGTGGCAATCAAGGTAGGTGTCAAAATGTGTTTATAAATGCTCTGATTAATATTTGTATTTTTGTAGTCATTTTGGATATTACAACGACAGTCTTGATGTAATTCCATTGAATGAGCGAAAAATATATACATCGGACGACATTGGTTTAAAAACATTGGCGGACCATGGAAAATTGATAATAATCGTTAAACCCTTTGTACATCACTTAACGTGGCACACAAATAAACGAGTTATTAATGAGGTGATTTTACCTTATTTAATTTAAATTTGTTAATGCTGGATTTAATTGAAATTCAAAAATATACAACCCTCGCTCTTTTTCTGTAAATTGTCTAACATTTTTTTTTATTAATTTTTGAACTTTCAAAGTTAGGTATGTCAAATTATACCGAGATGCTCAACTCGCGCGTATGTTGTGATGACTAATCTTGCATGCTATTCTATAATTTTATTTTTAACTCGGACTTCAGACCGCATTTCCTTGCATTACTCATTGTACGAAGGTAAACAATAATACTTTTTCAACCAAAACAATAAAACCCCTTTTTATAACCTCCACCAAGGTATGGAGGGTATATTAAGTTTGTCATTCCATTTGTGACATTGTCTTCGTATAGACTCCATATAACGTATAGCATCTATACAACGGTACCTCCTTCACCGTCAGGTCCACGTCTTCGTATAGCCCCCATAAAACATTACCTTCCGATATTCGATATTTTGATGATTATAGCGACATTATCCACCGGAATTGTTTTAAATTTCGTATTTGAAGTTCCTAATGCGTATTACAGGTTGCAGGTTTAAGTCTTATATTGGGCTTTTTATTATTTAAGCGACTTTAAGCGAATCTCACGGCGGCCGGTTCTATGAACCGGATTGACTCGAAGGAACAACGTTTCGACCAGAGACCGCCAACCCAGCAAATGCATGTTCGTTTTCGTTCATTTTTCTGATGTGGGAGCAACATTACCCGAAATGTCCGTACCTTGGTTCCGGACCATGGTTCTGCTCTGTCCTAATCACATCCACCACAGATCGGTCTCGGTGAGATGCAACGGATGCATGAAGTGGGTGCATTTCCGGAATTGCTCCGGCTTAAACCGGATACAGGAGTATAGCAATAGGGACTACATTGCTTCCTTCTGCGCCAATGTAGACCCCAGTGAGTCTTCGTCGTCCATATCGTCGTTGGAGTTTGAGACACCCCGCAATCCTTCACAACCGCAAGTCGTGCAGCAGTTGACGTCACACATTGATGTTCAAGTTCCCGACAATGCATCGTTTCCCCAATTCAACTGTGATGGTCTCCGAGGTGATATCAACGAAATCGCAAGCTTCATGAGTCGTAGCGATCCCGGAAGCGAAGCTGAGTACCACCTGCAGGCTTCAAAGTTGTGATGGATACAAATTTTGAAAATTTGTTCAATGTTCGACCCGACCGCTTTTTTACTTCCTTAGTTTTAAGAATGCTTAAAATATAATTTTTTTCCTTTCTTTTATTTATACCAATCAATGTAGATTTATAAAGGTAATCGTATCAAACCAGCTTAAAATAACATAATATTTTAAAACTAGTTGTTGTAATTTGAATTTAAATTATATAGCTTTGTAGACGTCTGTAACCTTTGCCGGTCACTTAGCGAGTGTCGCGATACTTTATTTTCTGTATCTATATTAGGTGTGTCTGGTTACTTTTCCTGCAGGAATTGTCCAGCAAAATCTTTCTTAGAGAGTAAGGTAGGTAGTAAGTAAACAGTCGGTATTCCTGCAAAAGCTTGCAACTAATCAGCTGATTTGTCAAAACAAACCAATTTGTCCCCTATTATAAGAATAAAAAGAATGGAAGCACCACCAATTTTACAAGTTTTTTAAATAAAAAGGAAATTAGCAATAAAACAAAAATATGAGCAATAAAAGAAAGATAGATTTATGTGTTCCCCGGATTCCTTTAAATATGTTGCTAATGGCGTTTGTCTAAAAACATTGGAAATAGCCTTTTATTTTCTTATTACATATTAATATTTACTTTTTTTCACATTTTGAAAGTTTATCTCAAAAAACAATTAGTCGTGCCCATTCCAAAAAAAAATATTATCAAATTGAAAGCACAAAAAAAAAAATAAACAAACAATAGAAAACATGTGATCGAATAGTTTTACATAGTTGAATTTTAATCATATTATCGATATGTGTCTTCATTTACCGTATTTGTGTTCACTTATATTCTACTACAGTTCGGCCGACCGGACAAATGTGACGGCCCCAGTCACACGAGGTTATTCATAATTCTCTAAGGTACAATATACTTAACTTAAAGCATGTTTACGTAAGAAATTTTTTCGGGGTTAACCTTCTTTATCAAGATTTATTTGAGGTATATTCAAAGGAATTGACAATTTAAACCGACTGGGGTTTTAAATCCTCTACAGCGTAAACGTACTATTAGTTGACTACATACTTAAACTACTTAATATACTACTACCATATGCTCTACCTGGCAGAACAACCCTGGGTCTTATTATCCGTTTTCCATAATCACATATTGCAAGCCTCTATCCACCACAGATCGGTCTCGGTGAGATGCAACGGATGCATGAAGTGGGTGCATTTCCGGAATTGCTCCGGCTTAAACCGGATACAGGAGTATAGCAATAGGGACTACATTGCTTCCTTCTGCGCCAATGTAGACCCCAGTGAGTCTTCGTCGTCCATATCGTCGTTGGAGTTTGAGACACCCCGCAATCCTTCACAACCGCAAGTCGTGCAGCAGTTGACGTCACACATTGATGTTCAAGTTCCCGACAATGCATCGTTTCCCCAATTCAACTGTGATGGTCTCCGAGGTGATATCAACGAAATCGCAAGCTTCATGAGTCGTAGCGATCCCGGAAGCGAAGCTGAGTACCACCAGCAGGCTTCAAAGTTGTGATGGATACAAATTTTGAAAATTTGTTCAATGTTCGACCCGACCGCTTTTTTACTTCCTTAGTTTTAAGAATGCTTAAAATATAATTTTTTTCCTTTCTTTTATTTATACCAATCAATGTAGATTTATAAAGGTAATCGTATCAAACCAGCTTAAAATAACATAATATTTTAAAACTAGTTGTTGTAATTTGAATTTAAATTATATAGCTTTGTAGACGTCTGTAACCTTTGCCGGTCACTTAGCGAGTGTCGCGATACTTTATTTTCTGTATCTATATTAGGTGTGTCTGGTTACTTTTCCTGCAGGAATTGTCCAGCAAAATCTTTCTGAGAGAGTAAGGTAGGTAGTAAGTAAACAGTCGGTATTCCTGCAAAAGCTTGCAACTAATCAGCTGATTTGTCAAAACAAACCAATTTGTCCCCTATTATAAGAATAAAAAGAATGGAAGCACCACCAATTTTACAAGTTTTTTAAATAAAAAGGAAATTAGCAATAAAACAAAAATATGAGCAATAAAAGAAAGATAGATTTATGTGTTCCCCGGATTCCTTTAAATATGTTGCTAATGGCGTTTGTCTAAAAACATTGGAAATAGCCTTTTATTTTCTTATTACATATTAATATTTACTTTTTTTCACATTTTGAAAGTTTATCTCAAAAAACAATTAGTCGTGCCCATTCCAAAAAAAAATATTATCAAATTGAAAGCACAAAAAAAAAATAAACAAACAATAGAAAACATGTGATCGAATAGTTTTACATAGTTGTATTTTAATCATATTATCGATATGTGTCTTCATTTACCGTATTTGTGTTCACTTATATTCTACTACAGTTCGGCCGACCGGACAAATGTGACGGCCCCAGTCACACGAGGTTATTCATAATTCTCTAAGGTACAATATACTTAACTTAAAGCATGTTTACGTAAGAAATTTTTTCGGGGTTAACCTTCTTTATCAAGATTTATTTGAGGTATATTCAAAGGAATTGACAATTTAAACCGACTGGGGTTTTAAATCCTCTGCAGCGTAAACGTACTATTAGTTGACTACATACTTAAACTACTTAATATACTACTACCATATGCTCTACCTGGCAGAACAACCCTGGGTCTTATTATCCGTTTTCCATAATCACATATTGCAAGCCTCTATCCACCACAGATCGGTCTCGGTGAGATGCAACGGATGCATGAAGTGGGTGCATTTCCGGAATTGCTCCGTCTTAAACCGGATACAGGAGTATAGCAATAGGGACTACATTGCTTCCTTCTGCGCCAATGTAGACCCCAGTGAGTCTTCGTCGTCCATATCGTCGTTGGAGTTTGAGACACCCCGCAATCCTTCACAACCGCAAGTCGTGCAGCAGTTGACGTCACACATTGATGTTCAAGTTCCCGACAATGCATCGTTTCCCCAATTCAACTGTGATGGTCTCCGAGGTGATATCAACGAAATCGCAAGCTTCATGAGTCGTAGCGATCCCGGAAGCGAAGCTGAGTACCACCAGCAGGCTTCAAAGTTGTGATGGATACAAATTTTGAAAATTTGTTCAATGTTCGACCCGACCGCTTTTTTACTTCCTTAGTTTTAAGAATGCTTAAAATATAATTTTTTTCCTTTCTTTTATTTATACCAATCAATGTAGATTTATAAAGGTAATCGTATCAAACCAGCTTAAAATAACATAATATTTTAAAACTAGTTGTTGTAATTTGAATTTAAATTATATAGCTTTGTAGACGTCTGTAACCTTTGCCGGTCACTTAGCGAGTGTCGCGATACTTTATTTTCTGTATCTATATTAGGTGTGTCTGGTTACTTTTCCTGCAGGAATTGTCCAGCAAAATCTTTCTGAGAGAGTAAGGTAGGTAGTAAGTAAACAGTCGGTATTCATTCAGGGATGTTTGTGAAGAGGTTCGACATGATGCGTCGAAAACAAAACGCAACTTGGTCGACACACTGCTGGGGCAAAGAACACAGTGATGTGGTATGTAATAGTTGGGAACTGAAATATTAGTGTCGTCCACCTGAGACATTTGGGCCATATTCTTTAAGAAATTTTGAGTAATCTTAATTAATTCTGGGTTTTGTTCAATTTTCTCTCTATGGAAAAGAAACGACGCAGGGCAATGTCTCGTGAATCGCCAAGCAAATTTGGGTCACCTTTAAAGGGCAATCTCACCATTAAGCGTCCATCCGATTGAAAAGATACATTTTTCACAAAATGGTCTTCACATACTTTTTGCTCTTGGGACATATTTTGGCATTTGCTTCCAACGACGTCAATTTTCCATAACATTTCAATATTTTTATTTATCTCTTGGAAAATATCTTTGTGTTATACAATGGAGTAAGTAGACCTTTGTGATGATATTGCCGTTTGACTTGTATACTTTCCAGAGACAATCCATCCCAAGAGAGTTTTTTGTAAAGTGGGCAAATTTTCTCCAAGTTTAATTTGACCAACGGATAAGAGCGAAAAGAATGATTCTGCTCCGAGTAAAATATCGATTCCTCGTCGACGATGAAACTCTGGATCGGCTAGCTCTATGTTGGAGGGCAAACATTCTCATCAGGAAGATAACCAGTTATATTGTGAGAAACCAGGAACTCTAATGACATATTGAAGTTATTAAGACGAGATCTTATTGTCGTTTGTGTTTTATGAGTGACTCTCAACTTCGAAGAGCCAACTCCAGAGACATCTGTTGAATTTGTGCATTTCTTGAGATTAAGAGATTTGCATAATGTCTCACTTATGAAGTTAACTTGAGAGCAAGAGTCAAGCAGAGCACGGCTCAGTTCATGTTTTCCCTCTGAGTCACGAACTAATACTAATGCAGTAGCAAGAATAACAGTACTCACTTGGGGACTGGGTTCGTTTTGAAAGGTGCTACGTGTGGCAGCAGATGATGATGACGGTTCTTCTTCTTTCTGGGGACAGGTTGGTTCTAATTGCTTATGAAGAAGCGAGTGATGACGTTGTTTACAAAATCTGCATGAATATTTTGAGGGGCATTGTATGTAACCATGCCCTTTTGATAAACAGTTGAGGCAAAGTTTTTGTTGTTTAGCTTGTTCAATTCGTTGATTAGGAGTAAGAACGATGAACCGCTGACAAGTTGATATCATATGACCCGATTTGGAGCAATGACTGCACACAAAATCTTGAGCCACATTTTTTGTTACGAATGAATGTTGTTTTTGATTATTACTATGTGAGTAATTTGTTGTTATGGTAGGGTTATGCTGTTTTGAAGACCGTCGGCACTGTGCGTCCAATTGCTGACAAAGCTTGTCCAACATGGAGCAATATTCAGTCCAAGAGGGTAATTTAGAGTAATCGATGTATTCATCCCATCGTTGTTTGGTTTCAGAATCAACCTTGCTCATTGCGAGATGAATTATGAAGGCATCACAAATTTGTTCAGAGGAGCCAAGGGATTTCAAAGAGCTATAGAGAGCAGAAATTGTATCCACAATATTTCTCAATTGCTTTGGAACAGGTTTATTGCACTTCGGAAGTTCAAACATTGATGTCACATTTTCAAGAAAGATTAGTATGTCATTATCGTACCGCTCCTTCAATATTTTAAGGGCACTAGAATAATTTTCATCAGTGACTTGGAATGCCTTTATGGTTGCAAGCGCTTCCCCACTAAGACACGAGAGTAAGTGGTTGAATTTTTCCGAAGTAGAAATATTTGGGTCATTGTGCACCAAATTGTTAAACGTATTTATAAAGTTCTTATATTCCAGATATTTCCCATTCCAGATATTTCCCTTGGGTAATTTTAAGCTGGGTAATCTATTAGATGGGACATGAGGCAACACAAAAGATTGATCAGCTATACTAGGACGTCTACCTTGCCCAATTTGAGAAAGAATTTTAGTTTTAATTGAAACATACAGTTCCTCAATTTCGGCTCTTCCATTATCTCTGGGGGACAATCTTTCTGTCTGACTTTGGTAGTAAGAAGCTTGCTTGTAGTGGGATTCTACAATTCCCAACCGACACTCAAGTTCTGTATGAGACAATGAAGTGTTGGATTCAATTATATTTTTAATTCGGGTCATACTCCCCTTTGACGAGCCACGTTGTTGTTTCAATTCCTCAATGGTTGTGTCCCTTTGGGAACCCTGGACTTGTTCATCAGTCATTTGGAATTATAATTTATTATAAATTGGTGTACAAATGTTTTCCGTTGTTTACCGATGATAGGATTATGTTGCGCAAGAAAGAGAAGCCGGTATATGAGAATTCCGTCTCCGTCTCTAACCCCAAGCTAATTTAAGAAAAAAAAAACGCAAAGTCGTCGCTTTAAAGATAGTGGAGATGTTTCTTTTTTTAATTCAATATGTTAAAGGCAAGCTAGACAAGCTAGTTTCAGTTAAAGCTTGTTTTCTTTAAAAGCATCGATTACCCGATACCAAATTTTATGGTAATATTTTAATGAGACTCAATTAAGGAGCGATATTGAGTCAACTGCTTTTAAAAAGCTCCCCACAAATGTTCAAATTTATGAATGCTTATAACTTTTATATAATGTGAAATCTATGTCTATCTATGTCTATTGGACCTCTCCTTCTGAACCTACGCCTTAGTATGTCTAAAACCAAAGAGATGCTATCACACACTCAACATTATGCGACGCGTTTCATTGTCGTTTAAGCGGGCCACTAGGCATATTTTGTATGGATTTTTTACAAGAGCTTGTTTTTGGAAAAAAGTATTTAATTTGGATATATTGCAAAAAACCATATGCGAATTAAACACCAGAACGCTCCATGTTCGACTCCAGTTCTTCTTACAAATCTAATCCGATTTCCTTCAATATTATTATCAATAGAAAAATAAATAAATGGTAATAAATACAAAGACTCGCGGAATATTTAAATAAAGTTTAAAAATAAGTAGATAAAGCCTAACCTGTGGTAAATAATTTAGAGCCATCCTACATCATAAAGCCTTATTTGTACATTTTTTTACATTTTCATTTGGCAAGGATATTCGCAAGGAGGTTTGTTAGCAAGAGCAGCAATCCAGTCAATGCATGAACACAATGTTCGAACTTTTATATCGCTATCTTCTCCTCAAGCAGGTCAATATGGAAGTAAGTTAAAGACGGATTCAACAGATTATAGCATGATATAAATATATAGCTTTTAATATTTATAGCCAGTTTTCTACATTTGATTTTTCCTGATTTGGCTGCCAAAACAGCATATGAGCTTTTTTACTCCAAAGTTGGACAGCACACATCCGTCGGAAACTACTGGAATGACCCACATAAGCAAGATATGTATTTGAAATTCAGTGTTTTTCTGCCATACATAAACAATGAGATTATTTCTGGAAATTCAACTGATAAAGCAGCATTAACTAGTTTAGATAAATTTATTCTTATTGGAGGACCGAACGACGGAGTGATTACACCGTGGCAATCAAGGTAGGTGTCAAAATGTGTTTATAAATGCTCTGATTAATATTTGTATTTTTGTAGTCATTTTGGATATTACAACGACAGTCTTGATGTAATTCCATTGAATGAGCGAAAAATATATACATCGGACGACATTGGTTTAAAAACATTGGCGGACCATGGAAAATTGATAATAATCGTTAAACCCTTTGTACATCACTTAACGTGGCACACAAATAAACGAGTTATTAATGAGGTGATTTTACCTTATTTAATTTAAATTTGTTAATGCTGGATTTAATTGAAATTCAAAAATATACAACCCTCGCTCTTTTTCTGTAAATTGTCTAACATTTTTTTTTATTAATTTTTGAACTTTCAAAGTTAGGTATGTCAAATTATACCGAGATGCTCAACTCGCGCGTATGTTGTGATGACTAATCTTGCATGCTATTCTATAATTTTATTTTTAACTCGGACTTCAGACCGCATTTCCTTGCATTACTCATTGTACGAAGGTAAACAATAATACTTTTTCAACCAAAACAATAAAACCCCTTTTTATAACCTCCACCAAGGTATGGAGGGTATATTAAGTTTGTCATTCCATTTGTGACATTGTCTTCGTATAGACTCCATATAACGTATAGCATCTATACAACGGTACCTCCTTCACCGTCAGGTCCACGTCTTCATATAGCCCCCATAAAACATTACCTTCCGATATTCGATATTTTGATGATTATAGCGACATTATCCACCGGAATTGTTTTAAATTTCGTATTTGAAGTTCCTAATGCGTATTACAGCTTGCAGGTTTAAGTCTTCGTATAGCCTCCATATAACGATACCTCCTTATATTGGGCTTTTTATTATTTAAGCGACTTTAAGCGAATCTCACGGCGGCCGGTTCTATGAACCGGATTGACTCGAAGGAACAATGTTTCGGCCAGGGTCCGCCAACCCAGCAAATACATGTACCACCTGCAGGCTTCAAAGTTGTGATGGATACAAATTTTGAAAATTTGTTCAATGTTCGACCCGACCGCTCTTTTACTTCCTTAGTTTTAAGAATACTTAAACTATAATTTTTTTCCTTTCTTTTATTTATACCAATCAATGTAGATTTATAATGGTAATCGTATCAAACCAGCTTAAAATAACATAATATTTTACAACTAGTTGTTGTAATTTGAATTCAAATTATATAGATTTGTTGACGTCTGTAACCTTTGCCGGTCACTTAGCGAGTGTCGCGATACTTATTATTTTCTGTATCTATATTAGGTGTGTCTGGTTACTTTTCCTGCAGGAATTGTCCAGCAAAATCTTTCTGAGAGAGTAAGGTAGGTAGTAAGTAAACAGACGGTATTCCTGCAAAAGCTTGCAACTAATCAGCTGATTTGTCAAAACAAACCAATTTGTCCCCTATTATAAGAATAAAAAGAAAGGAAGCACCACCAATTTTACAAGATTTTTAAATAAAAAGGAAATTAGCAATTAAACAAAAATATAAGCAATAAAAGAAAGATAGATTTTTTGTGTTCCCCGGAGTCCTTTAAATCTGTTGCTAATGGCATTTGTCCAAAAACGTTGGAAATAGCCTTTTATTTTCTTATTACATATTAATATTTGCGTTTTTCACATTTTGTAAAGTTTATCTCAAAAAACAATTAGTCTTGCCCATTCCAAAAAAAAATATTTTCAAATTGAAAGAAAAAAAAGAAATAAACAAACAAAAGAAAACATCTGATTGAATGCCGATGAATGTGAAGAAGAAGAGTTGCAAGTGATTGCAAGAAGAAATTTGTCCAGCAAGAATTTGCAAACTCTCACTGAAAGAACTGTCAAACTTTCTCTCTCCGACCGCTCTCTTTTGCAGAACTTTTGGGTTAACAGACGACTTCCAGTAAAAATTTGTAACAATTGTTACAAATTTTAGGGTAACCAGAAACATTTATTATCTTACATGATATGGATTATCTTTTACATAGTTGTATTTTAATCGTATTATCGATATGTGTCTTCATTTACCGTATTTGTGTTCACTTATATTCTACTACAGTTCGGCCGACCGGACAAATGTGACGGCCCCAGTCACACGGGGTTATTCAAATTCTCTAAGGTACAAAATACTTAACTTAGTTGACTACATACTTAAACTACTTAATATACTACTACCATATGCTCTACCTGGCAGAACAACCCTGGGTCTTATTATCCGTTTTCCATAATCACATATTGCAAGCCTCTATTATCGTAGGGTATTTGTGTTATCTGGCAGTTTTCGATATCCCCGACAAAATATCTCTCTTGGGGCAGCTTGTTTTTGGAAAAAAGTATTTAATTTGGAGCAACAATCCAGTCAATGCATGAACACAATGTTCGAACTTTTATATCTCTATCTTCTCCTCAAGCAGGTCAATATGGAAGTAAGTTAAAGACGGATTCAACAGATTATAGCATGATATAAATATATAGCTTTTAATATTTATAGCCAGTTTTCTACATTTGATTTTTCCTGATTTGGCTGCCAAAACAGCATATGAGCTTTTTTACTCCAAAATTGGACAGCACACATCCGTCGGAAACTACTGGAATGACCCACATAAGCCAGATATGTATTTGAAATTCAGTGTTTTTCTGCCATACATAAACAATGAGATTATTTCTGGAAATTCAACTGATTTTAATGCAGCATTAACTAGTTTAGATAAATTTATTCTTATTGGAGGACCGAACGACGGAATGATTATACCGTTGCAATCAAAGTAGGTGTCAAAATGTGTTTATAAATGCTCTGATTAATATTTGTATTTTTGTAGTCATTTTGGATATTACAACGACAGTCTTGATGTAATTCCATTGAATGAGCGAAAAATATATGCATCGGACGACATTGGCTTAAAAACATTGGCGGACCATGGAAAATTGATAATAATCGTTAAACCCTTTGTACATCACTTAACGTGGCACCCAAATAAACGAGTTATTAATGAGGTGATTTTACCTTATTTAATTTAAATTTGTTAATGCTGGATTTAATTGAAATTCAAAAATATACAACCCTCGCTCTTTTTCTGTAAATTGTGCAACATTTTTTATTAATTTTTGAACTTTCAAAGTTAGGTATGTCAAATTATACCGAGATGCTCAATTCGCGCGTATGTTGTGATGACTAATCTTGCATGCTATTCTGTAATTTTATTTTTAACTCGGACTTCCGACCGCATTTCCTTGCATCACTCATTGTACAAAGGTAAACAATAATACTTTTTCAACCAAAACAATAAAACCCCCTTTTATAACCTCCACCAAGGTATGGAGGGTATATTAAGTTTGTCATTCCATTTGTGACACCTCTAAATATAAATTTCAGACCCCACAAAGTACATATATTCTTGATCAGCATAAGATTCTATGTCGATTTAGCGATATCCGCCCGTCTGTGGAAATCACACTAGCTTTCGAACGAAATGAAATACATTGATACGATTATAAAATTTCTCAGATGTGTGTTAGGTCCGCAGGACTTTTGGTACTGAAAAGTGGGCTATATTCGTCCACGTTTTGGTATAACCCCCATATAACTGTACCTCCAGATTTTCCGCAGTTTGATGATTTGTGTCACACTTTTCATGAGAAATGTTTCAATGGAATTTGAAGTTCCTATGACATAAAATTGTCTTCGTATAGACTCCATATAACGTATAGCCTCTATACAACGGTACCTCCTTCACCGTCAGTTCCACGTCTTCGTATAGGCCCATATAACATTACCTTCCGATATTCGATATTTTGAAGATTATAGCGACATTATCCACCGGAATTGTTTTAAATTTCGTATTTGAAGTTCCTAATGCGTATTACAGGTTGCAGGTTTAAGTCTTATATTGGGCTTTTTATTATTTAAGCGACTTTAAGCGAATCTCACGGCGGCCGGTTCTATGAACCGGATTGACTCGAAGGAACAACGTTTCGACCAGAGACCGCCAACCCAGCAAATGCATGTTCGTTTTCGTTCATTTTTCTGATGTGGGAGCAACATTACCCGAAATGTTCGTACCTTGGTTCCGGACCATGGTTCTGCTCTGTCCTAATCACATCCACCACAGATCGGTCTCGGTGAGATGCAACGGATGCATGAAGTGGGTGCATTTCCGGAATTGCTCCGGCTTAAACCGGATACAGGAGTATAGCAATAGGGACTACATTGCTTCCTTCTGCGCCAATGTAGACCCCAGTGAGTCTTCGTCGTCCATATCGTCGTTGGAGTTTGAGACACCCCGCAATCCTTCACAACCGCAAGTCGTGCAGCAGTTGACGTCACACATTGATGTTCAAGTTCCCGACAATGCATCGTTTCCCCAATTCAACTGTGATGGTCTCCGAGGTGATATCAACGAAATCGCAAGCTTCATGAGTCGTAGCGATCCCGGAAGCGAAGCTGAGTATCACCAGCAGGCTTCAAAGTTGTGATGGATACAAATTTTGAAAATTTGTTCAATGTTCGACCCGACCGCTTTTTTACTTCCTTAGTTTTAAGAATGGTTAAAATATAATTTTTTTCCTTTCTTTTATTTATACCAATCAATGTAGATTTATAAAGGTAATCGTATCAAACCAGCTTAAAATAACATAATATTTTAAAACTAGTTGTTGTAATTTGAATTTAAATTATATAGCTTTGTAGACGTCTGTAACCTTTGCCGGTCACTTAGCGAGTGTCGCGATACTTTATTTTCTGTATCTATATTAGGTGTGTCTGGTTACTTTTCCTGCAGGAATTGTCCAGCAAAATCTTTCTTAGAGAGTAAGGTAGGTAGTAAGTAAACAGTCGGTATTCCTGCAAAAGCTTGCAACTAATCAGCTGATTTGTCAAAACAAACCAATTTGTCCCCTATTATAAGAATAAAAAGAAAGGAAGCACCACCAATTTTACAAGTTTTTTAAATAAAAAGGAAATTAGCAATAAAACAAAAATATGAGCAATAAAAGAAAGATAGATAGAAAGATTAATATTTACTTTTTTCACATTTTGAAAGTTTATCTCAAAAAACAATTAGTCGTGCCCATTCCAAAAAAAAATATTATCAAATTGAAAGCACAAAAAAAAAAATAAACAAACAATAGAAAACATGTGATCGAATAGTTTTACATAGTTGAATTTTAATCATATTATCGATATGTGTCTTCATTTACCGTATTTGTGTTCACTTATATTCTACTACAGTTCGGCCGACCGGACAAATGTGACGGCCCCAGTCACACGGGGTTATTCATAATTCTCTAAGGTACAATATACTTAACTTAAAGCATGTTTACGTAAGAAATTTTTTCGGGGTTAACCTTCTTTATCAAGATTTATTTGAGGTATATTCAAAGGAATTGACAATTTAAACCGACTGGGGGTTTTAAATCCTCTACAGCGTAAACGTACTATTAGTTGACTACATACTTAAACTACTTAATATACTACTACCATAGGCTCTACCTGGCAGAACAACCCTGGGTCTTATTATTCGTTTTCCATAATCACATATTGCAAGCCTCTATTATCGTAGGGTATTTGTGTTATCTGGTAGTTTTCGATATCCCCGACAAAATATCTCTCTTGGGGCAGCTTGTTTTTGGAAAAAAGTATTTAATTTGTAGCAACAATCCAGTCAATGCATGAACACAATGTTCGAACTTTTATATCGCTATCTTCTCCTCAAGCAGGTCAATATGGAAGTAAGTTAAAGACGGATTCAACAGATTATAGCATGATATAAATATATAGCTTTTAATATTTATAGCCAGTTTTCTACATTTGATTTTTCCTGATTTGGCTGCCAAAACAGCATATGAGCTTTTTTACTCCAAAGTTGGACAGCACACATCCGTCGGAAACTACTGGAATGACCCACATAAGCAAGATATGTATTTGAAATTCAGTGTTTTTCAGCCATACATAAACAATGAGATTATTTCTGGAAATTCAACTGATTTTAAAGCAGCATTAACTAGTTTAGATAAATTTATTCTTATTGGAGGACCGAACGACGGAATGATTATACCGTTGCAATCAAAGTAGGTGTCAAAATGTGTTTATAAATGCTCTGATTAATATTTGTATTTTTGTAGTCATTTTGGATATTACAACGACAGTCTTGATGTAATTCCATTGAATGAGCGAAAAATATATGCATCGGACGACATTGGCTTAAAAACATTGGCGGACCATGGAAAATTGATAATAATCGTTAAACCCTTTGTACATCACTTAACGTGGCACCCAAATAAACGAGTTATTAATGAGGTGATTTTACCTTATTTAATTTAAATTTGTTAATGCTGGATTTAATTGAAATTCAAAAATATACAACCCTCGCTCTTTTTCTGTAAATTGTGCAACATTTTTTATTAATTTTTGAACTTTCAAAGTTAGGTATGTCAAATTATACCGAGATGCTCAATTCGCGCGTATGTTGTGATGACTAATCTTGCATGCTATTCTGTAATTTTATTTTTAACTCGGACTTCAGACCGCATTTCCTTGCATCACTCATTGTACAAAGGTAAACAATAATACTTTTTCAACCAAAACAATAAAACCCCCTTTTATAACCTCCACCAAGGTATGGAGGGTATATTAAGTTTGTCATTCCATTTGTGACACCTCTAAATATAAATTTCAGACCCCACAAAGTACATATATTCTTGATCAGCATAAGATTCTATGTCGATTTAGCGATATCCGTCCGTCTGTGGAAATCACACTAGCTTTCGAACGAAATGAAATACGTTGATACGATTATAAAATTTCTCAGATGTGTGTTAGGTCCGCAGGACTTTTGGTACTGAAAATGGGCTATATTCGTCCACGTTTTTGTATAACCGCCATATAACTGTACCTCCAGATTTTCCGCAGTTTTATGATTTGTGTCACACTTTTCATGAGAAATGTTTCAATGGAATTTGAAGTTCCTAATAGGTACTATATGCTATGACATAAAATTGTCTTCGTATAGACTCCATATAACGTATAGCATCTATACAACGGTACCTCCTTCACCGTCAGGTCCACGTCTTCGTATAGCCCCCATAAAACATTACCTTCCGATATTCGATATTTTGATGATTATAGCGACATTATCCACCGGAATTGTTTTAAATTTTGTATTTGAAGTTCCTAATGCGTATTACAGCTTGCAGGTTTAAGTCTTCGTATAGCCTCCATATAACGATACCTCCTTATATTGGGCTTTTTATTATTTAAGCGACTTTAAGCGAATCTCACGGCGGCCGGTTCTATGAACCGGATTGACTCGAAGGAACAATGTTTCGGCCAGGGTCCGCCAACCCAGCAAATACATGTACCACCTGCAGGCTTCAAAGTTGTGATGGATACAAATTTTGAAAATTTGTTCAATGTTCGACCCGACCGCTCTTTTACTTCCTTAGTTTTAAGAATACTTAAACTATAATTTTTTTCCTTTCTTTTATTTATACCAATCAATGTAGATTTATAATGGTAATCGTATCAAACCAGCTTAAAATAACATAATATTTTACAACTAGTTGTTGTAATTTGAATTCAAATTATATAGATTTGTTGACGTCTGTAACCTTTGCCGGTCACTTAGCGAGTGTCGCGATACTTATTATTTTCTGTATCTATATTAGGTGTGTCTGGTTACTTTTCCTGCAGGAATTGTCCAGCAAAATCTTTCTGAGAGAGTAAGGTAGGTAGTAAGTAAACAGACGGTATTCCTGCAAAAGCTTGCAACTAATCAGCTGATTTGTCAAAACAAACCAATTTGTCCCCTATTATAAGAATAAAAAGAAAGGAAGCACCACCAATTTTACAAGATTTTTAAATAAAAAGGAAATTAGCAATTAAACAAAAATATAAGCAATAAAAGAAAGATAGATTTTTTGTGTTCCCCGGAGTCCTTAAAATCTGTTGCTAATGGCATTTGTCCAAAAACGTTGGAAATAGCCTTTTATTTTCTTATTACATATTAATATTTACGTTTTTCACATTTTGTAAAGTTTATCTCAAAAAACAATTAGTCTTGCCCATTCCAAAAAAAAAATATTTTCAAATTGAAAGAAAAAAAAAGAAATAAACAAACAAAAGAAAACATCTGATTGAATGCCGATGAATGTGAAGAAGAAGAGTTGCAAGTGATTGCAAGAAGAAATTTGTCCAGCAAGAATTTGCAAACTCTCACTGAAAGAACTGTCAAACTTTCTCTCTCCGACCGCTCTCTTTTGCAGAACTTTTGGGTTAACAGACGACTTCCAGTAAAAATTTATAACAATTGTTACAAATTTTAGGGTAACCAGAAACATTTATTATCTTACATGATATGGATTATCTTTTACATAGTTGTATTTTAATCGTATTATCGATATGTGTCTTCATTTACCGTATTTGTGTTCACTTATATTCTACTACAGTTCGGCCGACCGGACAAATGTGACGGCCCCAGTCACACGGGGTTATTCAAATTCTCTAAGGTACAAAATACTTAACTTAGTTGACTACATACTTAAACTACTTAATATACTACTACCATATGCTCTACCTGTTCCAAAAAGGGCAAAATCCAACAACATTAACATTTTTGTACGTTTTATTTTAACCCGTCCTATTTTGTGATTTTGGAAATTCCCAGACAATTGTTCGAAGTTGCTACTACTTTCCTTACACGAACGGTAGGTCGTTGAGGTAGTTCGTAGTTTTGCTAGAAGCATTTTTGCTGACAAACAAGTAAACATGGACAAACAAGTAAACATAAATATATACAACGAAATACTTATTAAGAAAATAGTCAATTGACCCTAATCGAGGAATTAAAAATCATTAGAAGAACATTTGAAAGAAAACGTAGACAAAGAAATGTAACTTTATTTTACATATGTGTGACCCATTCATAGAATATATTTAGGGAAATCTGTAAGATTTTGTTTTATGTTTTTAATTGGGGATATGGGATTCTTTAAAACTTAACCAGTTTATTAGGTCATTTATCAGATTAGATAGCTTAACAATTATTTGTTTTAGAACCGGTGTATACGTGTTTATCCGGACAATGAGGGTGGTCATAATACCGTTTCGATTTATGACACTAGTGGTGACTGACATTAGTATGAATACTACTCAGATCTGGCAGTTTTTTTGCTCTCATAGCGTTTGTCCTCCATCTCTAGATCACTTTTGTGTGGCTAATGTTGTATCATCCTTGTTCCTTCTTTTGAGTTTGTTGAGGTCTATACATATACACATACATACAACATATATGGTAAGTGCTATTTAAATAAGCAGTCGCGCATAATTAAGAGTTTTCCGGAGTGACGGTCTCGGAATCTTCGAGTGCCTATGAGTTTTGTTCTCGACTGGGCAAACTAATGTGTTACTCTAATAACCAACCATCAGTGTTACAAGGAATGCAGTCTGGGTACCTAGCTAATTCTTGAGCGCCTCAGCGAGCAATAGGATTAGTTGTCAAGTCCTTACCGTGGTATGAGGGTATTGCCATTGCGGACTTCGTCACCTCCAATGTCGTAATACGTAGCAATCAGTATTACAAGTTAGAATTCAGGGCAGGACTGTATTCTCAAACTTCGTTGGTACCTGGTCGGCCTTAGTCCCTTCATAAATTAATGACATATGAAAGACAGTAATATCGAATCGGTAAGGTCGCAGAAACCTTGCGATATAGATGAAGTTCGTAGTAAAGACAAAACACTACTGACTTTCCCGCCACATAATGGCGTCCTGGACATAATAATGGAAATAAATGTAATGCATACACCTCACTGCAAATTCCACTGCAAGGCACAAATGTAAGAGGATATATTTTTTAATAATAATCTTTGATTAATATTGGTTAAATTTCAAATTTTCAGAATAGTGTAAAGGGTAAAGCAATTGACATAGCTCTGTAGAAGGAGTTAGCAGTACTGTACATTCGTTTAAATTTTAATAATCTTACAATAAGCTCATCGCATTACGCTTATGTCAATAATTAGGCAGGGTTATAGCGCAGACATACATTTTCTCATCCCTGGTGATCAATGAAATATTAGTGAGTTTCGATCACTTAAGAATAGAGGTAGTAGTAGTTGTTGTAGCTGTGTTAACATACTCTGTTGTTTATGTTCTGATTAATCCGGCTCTCCCTCAATGTCCAAAGATCCTCTGGATGGAGTTTGGTAGCTTTGGCTGGACTATTAAACAGATACAGCCTATTGTCTTATATATTCGTATCTTCGTCAATTCGTGCCCAATACGAATTGAGACGGCTGCACCATCCTGAACGTAGTTGGGCCAAAACTACCCAGGTTTGCCTAGGCAGCCGACCTTCTTCAGCTGCAATGGATGGTGGTGGACTCCGTCGATGGCGTTCATACTCTATTTATTAAGTACCTCTGTACCGATTGTAGGCTTCATGATCTAGGGGATCTCTCTTATATCGCTGGACCTCTCTCTCTCTAGATCATGCAGGTCCTTCCTGACACGCCTGGGTGGGGGAGTTGTATCCACCATATGATGGTTGGGATGACTCTCACGGTAACACCCAAGGAGATACTGCAACAAAAGCATATGATTATGCTGACATAAGGGAAAAACCTTCGTCTCCTCATGTAAATTGTCTACATGATTCATGAGGAGGCACCCTGTTGCAGTTCTCAGGGCGGCATCATGGCAGGTCTGGCAGGTTGCACTCGTATTCGCCGACCACACTGGAACCGCATAGCTAACCACAGACCGACCTATCGCTTTATAAGAGATCAACAAGGTTTCCTTATCCGCACCCCAAGTGCTGCAGGCAAGCGCCTTGAGAACCTTGTTCCTACTTTTCATCTTGTCGCAGATAGATGTGGCTTGCGCGAACGACTTGAACATGCTGTCGAATGCACATTCAGCTGTGTTGTCATCTCCCAGTCTAGTACTATTCGCCTCGCCCTATCACTCTCGGGGTGCTCGACAAATGGACGGTTAAAATGGCCAGCGCTCCTCTTCGGATCAGTCACCGTTACGTCGTTAAATGTGACTGCTGCCCTATATCCTTTTTCCCACAGTTTATTCAAATTGGTTCCAATGTTGCAACACTTCAAATGGTCTAGCCACATTTTCCGCTTATGCTCCTGTACCAAGCTGTTGACTTCCACTGTCAGTTCACTGACTCTGGGATCAGTAGGTTTGGTACGCCGGAGCTCATCACGCTCATTCGCTAGTAGGAAATTTGGTCTTACTTCGGGTATTCGACCAGCAGGTATATAGCGAGCTGCTGCAGCTTTGATGATGTCCCGGAAAATCCTTTCAGCTACCCGAACATCAGAAGGGTTGGGCGGTTCTCTGAAGCGGCGGTTGGTGAACTTTCTGAACTCAGG